AGGGACTCATCCGCTCCCAAGGCATCGTTGATCTGGGGCACGTCCGAAGTCAGGATCTCACAAGCCACACTGGGGTACCTGAGGGAGAGGGTGGGGGGCGGCTCTCAGCTCCAGGGCCATCCTCACATCCCCTTACGCTTTATCAGAACCATGCCCACAGCAATGTCCACCCTTCTGAGCCTAGACGCCCACCACCAAGCCAGTTCCTCTATCACCAGGACATCACCTGCCTATTCCTATGGCCTTGCCTCCCACCCAGGTCACCATCAGAGCTTCCCCTTCTCAGTCCGTCCACCTGCGTACTCTCTCTAAACCTCTCCCTCGCCCCTTGCCTCTTTCTCCTGAGGGCTGCCCTGCCCTGTGCACTTCGGACCGCTAGGAACAGGTGGACCGCTCACCACTCATTCTCCAAAAAGAGAAACTTATAAGAAACACTGTAATTGTGGGACTTGCTTCAGTCCACACCAGGGCCTGCAGACCATCCCATGGTATCATCCTGGCTATGACACTGTACTATACCTTGCAAAATGTCACCACTGGGGGAAACCAGGCAATGTACAGGGAACTCTCACAATTGCATGTGATTCTACAGTTCTCTCAACAAATATCCAATTGAAAAAAACACCAAGAAAAAGAAAGTGGGGGTGGGGTGTAGGCACTAAAACAAGACTACCCAGGTGCTGCTCCTTTAGGGCCGGGTGGAAGGCCCACGGGGCTCATCCTCCCATCCTTCCACTGGACGTTGTCTGGGAAACCCCATAGTGACAAAGATGCTGTTAAAAAGCTATATCAGAAGTGGTTTGGAGTGCAAGCTGTAGGTCTGCACCCAGGGGTCCTCTCTGCCTGCCTGGGTTGCCTCCTCCCTACAAAGGCACCAATGGTGACAACAGGGAGTCAGGTCGGAGCTAGGACAGAACAGGGGAGGCTCACTTGTAGCGCAGCCGTTCCTCCCCGCTGGCTGGTGGCTCCTGGGTCACCCAGGCCACCATGGCCTGCAGGTGCGGTGGCTGCAGCAGGAAGTCCAGCAGCTTGCGGTTAACAACCTTGCACTCCTGCAGCACGTCCTCCTCGTCCAGCAGCTCAGGCAGGCTTAGGTCCTCCCGTTCCAGCAGCGTGTCGAGGTGTGAGCTCGTGTGAAGGTCAAACTTCCAAAACATGGCGCCCTGTGGGCAAGGAGCTGTCATACACTGGCCCCACCAGCCCTACCCAGCAAGTAGCAGACCCCAGTGTCTTCCCTAGCCACCTCTCATCCAGACCCCTGAGGTCCAGGTGGGCATTTCATACCTGAGGCCAACTGCCCTCCCCAACCCTTGGCCCCAAGGTCTGGAAAAGGCCCTTGGGTATGAACTGGGCTCAGGGCCTGAGAGGGAGAGCCCCAATGCTATGCACAAAGTTACCATGGTCCCCTCCCCTGCCACCACTCATCTGTCCCCACACCTGGGCAGGGACCCCCGCCCAGGGCAAGGCTGGAGCCAAGCTCATCCTGCAACCTCCAACAAACTCACTTCAATCTATATTTGCTGAACAAATTCAAGTGCCCCATGATGGGCAGCACGCGACTGCCATCCAGCCCAGCAAGTCACCATGTGGTGCAGGGTGTGGGGCAGTGGCAAGTAGAGGGAAGTCTGCCGTTGCCTGGATGCCACACATATACACACACACAAACACACCCAACCCCCTCAACCACCCAAGGCCGAGGATAGGGAAGAGGGAAATGGGGGTGGCTCCCAGAACAGTCACTGACCAGGTCCCAAAGAACCAGGACAGACAGGGTAACCGGTTCAGCGGGGAGGACAGGCTGGCTCCAGATGGCGTCCTGGCTCTGAGGCTGACTCTGAAGACCTTGCATGCCTGGCTGCGGCCCGGCCTGCCCAACACGAGTAGGTGCCCAGCATCAGCAGCATCTCGATGGAATGCTCGCTAGGGGCCAGTAGGGCCTGAGCTGCACAGACTTGGCTGCCTCTCTCAGGAGCCTGCAGGTCCCCCAGGCCAGACTGCCAGCTGCAGACCTGCCCTGTGCTCACGCCAGGCACCCAGGCCACTGGTCCCCACCCTGTGCATCCACTATGCACTGGTGCTATGCCCACGGCCCCCTCCAAGGGGCTCTTGTCACTCCATCACACAGCAGGCAACCTGCTGGGACTCAGCAGCACTGCACAGGCACCGACCAGAGCTCAGGCTTGCCACCTGCCTCATGCAGACTACCTGAGGCAGAGCCCCGCACCGGCAGACTGAGAGATCACCATACCCTCCTGGGCACTTCCTAGGTCAGCAGATGCCAGTCCCTCTCCTGTGAAGCCCTCTGGGTCCTCTCTGCCCCACACTGCTCCAGCCACAGGAAGCAGATGCAGCCCCAGCCTGAGAAGAGAGGCTGACTCAGGAAGCAGCAGGGCTGAGCCAAGGTGGAGCCAGCAAGCACAGGTGACTAGCCTTATGAGCCTGGGTCCCTCTAAGACATCATGGCACCCAGCTCCCCTTTTCAGCATGCACAGGGGACTTTCACCTCAGCCATGTGGCCTCCTGGCTGTGGCCAGGTGCAAGGGGCTCTAATTCCACAACCACCCTGACCAGACTCACGCTGGCTCCCATGCCGTGGCCAACCACACCTGGAGGTAGAGTGAAGGAATGGCCCTGTGTGCAGGGACAGTCAGGAGGGGACAGCACCTTAGGGGTCCTATCCTACCCCTCTGCCCCACCCCCACTCAGGACACTTTTCTGAGACACAAATTAGAGCATCTCATGTTCATTTCTGGCCAAAACCCTGTGATGCCTCTCCAGCTTTGTGTTCAAGGACCCCAGGGTCCTGCTCCCCTCCCAGCTCCAGAACATGTGCACAAACCTGCCCAGCCCATACACCATCATAGGTCACAGTAGCAATGCACATGTGGTACACATGTGCTGATGGATGACGGAACCACACAGCCTTCCTCACCAGGCTGCATGAGCACCTGGGGACAGCACCTAGCACAAACCCGGTACACGAAATGTGCTCAGAAATATTATGAGAGAAACCCCTGTCTGCAGAACATGTCTCACATGTCTCAGGGCATGACCCCTCTGCATTCACCTGTCAGGGAAAAGGGGAGTGGCGCCCACCTCATCCCCCACTTAGGGGCCCCCTAAACCACAACCATAAGGCAGCGGTGGGGTTGGACCATCAGAGTAGTAGGCTTGAAAGGGCTGCACCAGGGGCAGAGTGGAAACTACTGCTTTAGACAGAAACCAACCAGTGCCAACTCTGGGAGTGCTTGGCCACCTTCCTTGGACACAGACAACCCCACTTGTGCCCAGAGCCTAGACCTCCTTGAGGCACTCTTTCACCATCCTATCTCACTTGATGAGAGTCTGCAACAAGGCCCATGTCACAGGTGAGAAAACTAAGGCTCCACAGATGGGCACTAATAGGTGGGGGTTGGGGGTGTGTAGGCAGACTTCCTGAGCTGGGAGGACCTAGGACCAGAATCATCAAGAGGCAGGGATCTCGATGTGGTGAGAATACCACCTGTTTCTACATCACTTTCTGGCAGCAGTAAAGAGACCAGAGGGGCAAAAAGGCCACCCAAGTGGCGTGAGCGAAGTAGTCATCAAGGATCACATGCCATGTGACATTATTTACATGGAATGTCCAGGAGAGGCAAATCCACAGAAAGTAGATTAGTAGTTTTCAGGAGCTGGGAGAGATTTAGGTGGGGGGCTGGGGATGAAAGGTTTCCTTTTGGGAAAAGGATATTCTAAGAAAGCCCCCCCACAAAAAAAAAGCTCTAAAATCGGTTATACACAATTTTGCTTGTCAGTTATACCTCAACTAAAAAATCCTTTGTGGTGATGGCTGTACAGCTCTGTGACTATACTAGAAACCACTGACTCGTGCGCTGTGAATGGGAGAATCGTACACGTATGAATTATATCTTGACAAAAACCGTTACCAAAACAAACAAAACGAGGCTGCCCGAGTGCGAGGGCCAGGCTCAGGTCTCACTCCATGTCCCAGTCACCCCGAGCTGACAAGATGCCAGCTGCCTGCAGAGCTGAAGCACGTGTAGGCTCCACCCTGGGGAGCCTGCCCAGGTTCCCCTCCCCACTACACAACATTATTGTCCCTGAGCTAAGTATATGCACCCCCAGGTGGAGGGCAAGGCCCAGCCAACATGTGCAGAAAACCCATGCACCATATCGGGTGCCTCATATGTCTCATTGAGATGACAAGGCGAAGCATGGTTCTTATTCCCATTTGACAGACGCAGGGGTGGGAGCCCACAGGACTCAGCAAAGTATCCTGCTCTCCTGACCAGAGGCCCACTCATTTCTGAAGCATGTGGTCAGAGGATGCAGGCTATGGCCCCAGCCCCAAATCCCCACACCCTCTCCCTTACAAGATCCGCACCTAATTCAGACAGGACAGACTTCTCTCCCAAAGCTGGCTTTCCAGAGACCCAGGATGGGGGCCACCACAACAAGACAGGAGGGGGCTAGGTGGCATAGAGCGTGGATTCCAGGGACCTCACAACCCACGTGACCCCTTAAACTCTCAGAACCTCAGGTTGCCCCTCCGAAAAGCAGGAGGCTACAAGGCTCAGATGTAACTAAGTGGTCGTCGGTACCCTACACACATCATTCCCCAGCTCTGCACTGAACGAAGATGCACATGTAGATCTAGAAAAGAGAACACACGGAAAAGAGGAAAAGAGAAAAAGACTTCCTCCGCCACAAATTCTCAATTCACTCGAGCTCCAAGTCCTGCCTGTCACCCCATCTTCTCTTAATGGAATTTGCTGGAAGCCCCGGGAATCGGGCAGGAGAGGTAGGTTCCTTTCTCACTCTCTAACGGCACGAGCCTGGGCCAGGCATCTAGTTTCCAGTCTGTGAAATGGGGGCAC